TTTGGACCTTCATTCAGGCATTTGGACCTTCATCCAGACGTTGGACTTTCATTCAGACATTTGGACATTGGACCTTCAGATTGATGCCTGGTCCTTCAGTTGGACATTTATCCAGCGGAAATGTTGTTGCATGAATTGATCGCAATGGCAGGAAGCTATTCGTATCTTGTTTCTATGAAGGGCCAACATGACGGCGTTCAGACTGTGCTCGTTATAAGTCCAGAATGACATCACTTCCTGTGTGGATATTTACATGCTGAAAGATAAACAGCTGGGAGGCGCAGCAGGTGGAGAAGCGGCTCATGGTGTTTTTATTGGTTGGGTTTATTTTGAATCAGATTGTTGAACTCAGTCTGAACAGCATCATGGTCGGCAGCAGAGAATCTGGTTTTAGGGGCGGGGCTTAGGGCAACACCAATCCTGGGGTCCAACAGGGAAGGAGAGGAAAGGATTGAGTCTCTATTATAGATCTGCTGAAGTAGATAGCTATACAACACAAACATACATTCTGTCCACAGAAACAGACCCGAACACAGAGAACTCTGATCAACATTGGTTCTACTCAGCACGGCTTCTTCATGCTGCGGGTTTCTCATTTAGACACACGGATTCACTGCAGTAAACATCATCCCATAAACCCCGCCCAGGAACGGCGCTGCTGCAGGCAGACGGGAGTGTTGCACTGTGGGTAGGTTGCAGGCGACCCACTGCTGGTTCACTCCGCCGCTTCCTGTGAAGGAAAGCCAACATCAGATGATCCTCAGCAAACCCTGAGGCTCTCCTCAGCTTCAGTCGGTTTCATATCAAGCATCACCTGCACTCACCTGCGTCCTGTCGCCTCACATCTGATTGGAGAAGGAGGTGGGCGCCCCCTGCTGGCCCATGCCTTGACCATAGTCTGCCTCCTGGAGACAGAAACAGCAGAGTGAGCCTCAGCTGAAGGTCTCCATCGGACCCGATGAAGAGTAAACATCCATGATGCTGTTCTACCAAACCACAGAGGTTCTCTTTTAGACTTTGAAGACCTCATCTCTATGTCCTAGAACCAGAAACCTTTGGCTTGTTTCCTTAAAAAGTTCTCACCTTTTTATAGAGGAATAAATTTATCCTGATTGTAAATGAGTCTAAAAGTAGCTTCAGGCATAAAACGGAAGATGAGCCAACATCAGGGACCATCAGAGACCATCAGGGATCATCAGGGACCATCAAGGACAATCAGGGGCCATCGGAGACCATCAGGGGCCATCGGAGACCATCAGGGG